CTTCCCCCTCGCGGCCCCTCCCGCGGCGGCTGCGCCCGGGCCCCCCTGCCCTGCCCTGCCCAGCACGGCCGGGGCCCGGGGTCTGCACCGCGGCGCAGCGGTGCGCTTGCCAGGTGTAGGATCATTGTCGTGTCTGCACGATCACTATAAGCCTTGCCTGGGGTACGATCAACAGCAGTGACAGTGTCCGGAACCCACGATCGTTTCTGAGGCAGCTCGTTGATGCAGCATGTGCAAGACCCAGCCCGCTCTCGGGGAGTTTTAACTGACTTGGGGGCTTTTTTTTGCTTTTTTGAAAAGAATTTTTCGCCTTCCAACCCAAATCAGCCGAGTCAATTCCAAATCCGAGAGTCCGCCCAAAACCATAAGTGGCCATACTACCGGCAAACATCCTCCACCCCACCTGAGGCATCAGATGTTTCCAGAACCTTTGGCCGACATCCTACTTGCAGGTCCAAGCTCAGGGGCTTGGGGTTCAGATGCTCCCAAGTTTTGCTTGCCCTCAGCCCTAAGGGTAAGCTACGAAGAAGTCTCCCATTTCCATGAAGTGGGCATAAAGCCAAGATCTTCCCACACAAGCAGCAAGTGAGAGGTTTACTATACATTACCTCCATGGGACTTTTGGGCTTGCTGTCAAGACTTTCTTATGACTGCTTGCCTCAAAATAAAGAAATGCTTCAACCTGGATGACCCAGTTCTCACTCCCTTCCTGGCTATTTACAATGAGCAATATAAAGTAAATAAGACTTCTTTGCATGCTTATTTACATATTTTTTCAGTGTATAATAGTTTTTCAGCAAACACAGTAGTTTTGAGCTTCCAATATGATAATTTCATAATTAATTCCTGGCAATGCTGATGCGGGGTCAGGGTGTTAGAAAGCAGAGGGGATCGGGTCTATTCAGGGGTGTCTTGGGTGGAGAACCACTGGGGCAGGCAAGGGGCATGCTTCTGTGCTGGCAGGGCAGAGCCATGCTATAAATATAACGGTGGTCTTTGGGGGAGTGCAGGGCAAGGGAGACGCATGGGGGTGCAGAGCAGGTCTCTATGCACCTTGCTGCTCCGACCCCAAAGTGAGGGTGACACCGCTTCCCCCCAGTTCCTTCAGGGTGTCCTGCCTGCTTGGGCTCATCCTGCCAAGACTGAAGGATCCCTGGCATGGCTTGGTGGAAAGCAGGAGGGGACTTTGGGCTGCGTGTCCTTCAGGACAGTTCCCCAGGGCAATGGGACCCAGTCCATGCTGGGGCTTGGGGAACAGGCTTGCGGAAAAGGGGCTTAAGAGGGGACATGACAGCAGTCTTCAAATACTTGAAGGGCTGTCATAAAGAAGAGGGGAAGCCCCTGTTCTGTCTTGCTGGGGAGAGGAGGATACGGACCAATGCCTTGAAATTGCAGCAAAGTAAATTTAGATTGGACATCAGGAAAAACTTCTTCACTGTTAGAGCAGTGAGGCAGTGGGACAGGCTGCCTGGGGAAGCTGAGGACTCTTCATCACTGCAGGTGTTGAAGAAAAGGATGGACAGCCCTGGTTAGGGATGATCTAGGTGTAGCTATGCCTGTGTTCTACCATGAGTATTTCTCAGGATTCTGGGCTTCACTGATCCTCCTCCCCCTGCCCCACCTTTCTACATGTCAGTGTGTTTTTAAACCTTCCCAGAGACATTGGGTGTTGGCTATAGCCAAGGCTGGGGGCTTTGACTGGTGTATGCCAATGTTCCTGCTGGGACCAAGGCACATGTTGCTGACTAGAAGGTCTCTCCCCTCTGCCCAGGGTCAGACTGATCACCATATTTGGGGTCAGAAAGGAATGTTACCCCATGATCACATTGGTACAGGCTGTGGGGGGTTTTGCCTTCTTTTGCAACAGGATTATAGCCCTCTCTCTACCCAGGATCTCTTGAGCATATAGTGACATTTCATAAAAGCAGGACATTAGCTGCCGTGGCTCCCCTGCTTTACCTGTGGCAGGTTTGGGGGTTAGGTCTGTGCTGTATCAAGGTTGATGGTAGTCTTATGTGGAGTTTAGATTATGGTTTGTATGGGATAGTTTGGATAGGGGGTTGGACTGGATGACCTCTGGAGGTTCCTTCCAGCCCTACTTCTCTCTGATTTAAAAAAAAAAAGTAAAATAAAAATTTTACACACACACACACATCATCTAGTATAAGCTTTCCATTTGACACCTTAACCACTTTAAGAAACCATGCACCCATTACAATAAACACACCTGCTCCCCTGCACCCCCATGCCCCCACGCCCTGCCCTTCCCTAACCCAATCATAGTTTCTTAGTCCCAGCCCTGATTTGGGGTTTCCATTCTCAGTTAATTCACTGTCCTTGTCACTGTCGATGTCGTTGTCACTCCTACTTCCCTACAATTGTATGAGAAAAGAACTAACTACCGTTAGGGGCTGGAGTGGAGTTTCCCCTTAACCTGGCAGGGAGGGGAACAGACCTTCCCTGTAGAGTGACACTCTTCATGCCATCACCTCTCGCTCCTGGATGGAGTCCCTACCTTTCACCCCCTCCCCCTGCCCACTGCTGCTCCAGGGGCTTTCCCCAGCTGAGGATTCAGTCTGCCAGGCACCAGTCAGCCCTTTCTTATGCAGTCCGGAGGTCCAGGAGAGCTGAAAGCTGAAAGCTCCAGACAGAACCACTTCGATGAAGCATCTTGTCCCCACCAGGATGGGGACCCGAATCAGGGAGTGCCCTTCGGAGTAGATTCTGTGCCCAGCGGCTCTGAGCAGGTGACCCCAAGCACCCCTGCCTGCAATCAGCCACAGGACACTGGCACTGGCAGGAGGCACAGGGGACCCTGCACAGGTGATGAATTCAGGTAGGTGTGTCGGTTGGGTTTTGCTCAACTGGGCACAGCCTTGCAGATATGTCCAACCAGCGACTGCTTGTGGGGGCTGCTGGTACCTTGATGTTTTACTTCTCTTGCTGGCTTGGTCCCCATTTCTGAGCTCCCTGGTGGAGGAAGCTGTGAGCAGAGTGGAGGCATTGAGCACAATGAACTAACAGGGGGCTCCTGGGGCACCTGCTGCTCTCCTCTCAGAGGCGCTACCAGGAGGCTCAAGGATCAGTCTGTAGCTTTCCTGCAGGCAGCCAGGGTTACACTGGGTCTGACCCCACACTTGTATTGTGGCAGGGAAATAGTGGGCTGGGAGCCAACGTAGGTCTACCCACCCCCCCGTGTATTTTTTACAGTTGCGTCCCCACAAGTGAGGCTGAAGTTGGCTCTTTCTTCCCAATTCCAGGTTCCTTTTTTCAAAACTAATCTTTACCCATGTGGTGGGAGAAAACTCCCTGGGGTTCATTGTCTAGCTGCATAGGAACCAGACAACACGGGTAAAGTTTTACTGCAGTATATTTGCTCGAGCAATGACCATAAAGCCAGCAAAGAGGCAAAATGGCCCCCCCTCAAGGGTGGGGCTATCTTTTATACTTTTTACAATAAGGCAAGACTACAGGGTTAACAAAAGCAATACTTGGGCGGCGCTTCACAAATTTTCATAACAGCATATTTCTATTAAGCTGAACTAGCACTTTCTAAAAGCTAAAAGTTAAGTAACAGTAACAGTAACATTATGATAAGTTAGCAAGAACTTGCAGTGGTAGATACTTAAGGACACGATCACTGTACTTAGAACAATGGCTTCTTTGTGTTAACTTGTTCCTTGCTGTATCTGGTTTACAGCACATAGACACAGATTCACTTGCTGCATTTTACTCAGAAAATGCTTAACACGGTTAAAATGATTACTTGACACAAGCAAAGGCTTAGCTATCATTCTGCCTTGTGGTCAGCGGCATTGCTAGGCCACAGGTCATGCCTTGTATTCAGCTGCAAAGCTAATACTTCTTAATAATCTAAATTATTGTTAACCTAACAGTATGCTATCAAAAAACTGTTCTATTTCAGGGTAATAACAAACATGCTCACCACACCCAGTTCCAGATTGGTAGCTGAGCAGCTTCAGCCTCACTCTCCACAGCCTCTCTCTGCCAGTGCTGGTGCCTGGCCTGAGGAGCCCTGCAGCTGGCAGACCTCTCTGCCCCTTTCTAGGCTTCGGCTTCCCGGGTGTCACGTGGCGCCTGCGGGGCGCTCCTTGTAAACGGCGTGAAGCCCAAAGGCAGCAGCTGGGTGCCCACGGCCCCAATCCTGGGCTCTGCGCTGCCCTCTCACCCCTTCCTTCCAGGGCCACCCGCCACCCCCTCTCCCCAGCTGGGGTCTCTCTGTTGAGCCCCAGCTCAAGTCTGGGATCGTGCCTGGTATGCAAAAGCCAATAAAGATACCAGGGGTGAAAGTATAAAGATTTATTGCTAGCAATACAAGGTGCAAGCGGAATAATTTCACGTAACAAGCACACAGAGTCTTAATTATGAGCATCTTTTATACAGGAGTATTGGACCTTCATAAGCATTCTTGTTTGCTAATTGGTTATAAGGGAGTGACGCAAGGAGTTCTTTACTGAGCATGTCTCTATACCTGTGTTTTAGCTATGTATCTCATTTCCATACATGTATGTTTCATTAGCATACTTTCTCCCCACCCAGGGGTGTGAATCTTAATATTTAAATCAGCTCTTTGCCCTACTCCACTAATTCTATTTTTGTTTTCAAGTCTCCTTTATCTAAGACTGTCTTCTCCTTATCATTGCAGATGGGCATTAGTTACATAACAGAGACTTTTGCTTGGGCTATGTGTAGTGGTTTCTAGGTCAAACCTGACATCTCGGCTCCCTAGCTGTGATGGGGGCCGCGCTGGGCTGCTTGGCCAGGACACCGGGGAAGGGCAGGGAGGCAGGGGACAGGTCCCAGCCGCGCAGGGTCAGGCCTGGGGCTGGGGGGGCTGTGGAGAGGCAAGTCCCAGGCTCTGGCCAGGGCGGGAGCCCAGGGTTGGGT